GACAACCCCCGCCCCCCCCAATTAACAGAGTCAACGTGTGATGCCGCAGCTTATCTGAATGAGGTATATATTTATATTTATATATTTATATATATATCGTTTACAAACCCCCTCAAATCTAGCTTCCCCCCCTACCCACCCGCCCCCTAAAACTGGAGAAGAACAAACTCTTTTACTTCCCTGCCTGGTTCCCAGTTAGCTGCGTCCGTCCGTGGCTAAAAGGAACGAAGGGCCCCCACCCCCCAGCCCTGGGAAAGCCACTCCAGTGAGCCAAAACAGCTTTCTGTGCAAGAAGTGCAATCTTAAGCATGGCTGGGATAGGCACAATCGTTTTTAAAACTCGGGCCTGAGACCTCCTGAAGAGAAGACAGCAGTGGTGGGAGGTTAATTTTTCCAAGACAAAAGGGGGGGGGGAGAGAAATCACCTGGGCTTGCAAACTTCTATCACTTTTTACCTTTACCCCCAAATAGCTTTATTTCCAAAGCCAGGTTTTGATCTTCAAGAAGGCTTCAGGTGGGGTAAAATTGCTGGAGAGGGGTCAGCGTGATTAAAAATAAATAGTAGTTTAAACACCCACAAGTGTTTGGCAAAAAGTTATTCCCTTGTCCCTCTCTCTCTCTCTCTCTCTGCTCTTGCCAGCCCTGGTTTGAAACTCTCAAAATGATGGGATGTGCTTTCAAGATGACTCCTCTGGCAGAGAGGGCCAGGCGTTTCCTTCCAACAACCGCCAAAGGGTTCAGTTTTACAAGCTGGGAGATGGCTGGGATGGTTTCCTAAGTAGTATAACAGATGTGACAATCTTAAATGGACACACACACAAGCACGCACGCACGCACACACACGTACAGAGAAACTTTCACGCAAGAATCCTACTAGGGGAAAAAAAATCAGCTAAAAAGCCACAAGTCACTCGGAAAGCTTGGCGGATCCTGGACTGGTCAATTCTTTTTAGCCTCTCTGCCCACCTGCCTCGGTCGGAAGACTCCGTTAACCATGAGGCTTCGCTACTTACGCAGTCTTTAGCCGGAGGAAGATGGACAGGGGAAATGGCCCCCAAAGAGCACAATCTTTGGGCTTCCTGCCTTCACTTGGAATGGAAGCAGGGAGGGACTTTAAACATGGCCCCAGGCAGACGCAACGATCTTTGGAGTTGAAGGCGTTCAGTGAGAAAGTTGACCGCGTTCTGAACGAAGGGCAAAGGAGCTGCCTACTGGTTGAAGATAAGCCCCACCAGCTAGACCTTATCTTGGCCACCAGGACCGAGAGTGGCTATTGGGGGCTCTGGTTGACAGGGCAGGAGATAATATGGGCTGTCCTTTTCGCAATCTGGGCCTCCTGCCTGTCGGGGCTGCAAAAGGGACGCGGGCGCTTTGGCATCTCCAGCACTTGATATACGAAGGCCAAAGTCCGATTAACGCTTATCTACGGATCCTTTTCAAGAACGTTTCTTTCTTGGTTGACGAAGACATGGGTGGGATGCTCACCACTCACCGGTAATACGGCCGGACTGGCAAGGGATGGGAAACAGATTGCAAGGCATCTGGCCCACATTGGGTAGATCCGGGCTGTCCGAGTATCATTGTCTCTCATTTGCCCCACTGCTAGGTAGCAACCATAAAAAGTCCCATCAAATTTGTTCAGGAACATCTCGTTCTTCAAGGGGCTGCGTGGCTAAAATCTTTGTCCACTTGGATGGAACGAAGTCTATTGGCCAGAGAGGAAGAGGAGGAGAAAAGATCCTTAAAAGACCTGTTTAAAATAGAAATTGAGGGATCCGGCCTCTTGTTATTGGCCATGTTGAGGTTCTTAGCAAGTTTTGGGAGATCACAGATTCTTCTGCCTTGCCTAAGGAGACCAACTGGCAGCGGGTCTTTACTATTCTAAAATTGCTACAAAACAATATGGTAAGAACGTGGGAAGCATCCAAACCAGCAGGAGCCGAAAGCTTTCACTGAATCCTTAGAAAGATCATAAAGAGGAGCTGATGTTGATGACTTTTAGAATATCTCTTTGAAGTTGGCCAAGAAGAGGCCCTTGCTAATGAAGCATTCCCTCTTCAAAGCAGCAACTTTAGACCCCTAAAACATCCCACTTCTGCAAAGTGGGATGCCTATACTTGGCACAAAATTTTTATTTCGTTTGGATTAAATTGCCAAGGGGCTGGAGGGCAACTTCAGGCCCTACTTCTCCCTTCCCTTCCCTCAATCTGGTGCCCTCCAGATGTTTTGAGCCTGTAACTCCCAGAATTCTGCACATAGTTGCCAATCCCAATACAGTGAGAAGGTGCTAAGTTGGAGAAAGCAGATCACTGAAGTCCACACGGGGGCTTTTTTTCGGCCGAGTCCTTCCCGTTACAATTAGGAAACGTGGATTTTCCCACAAAAACTGAGGAGAACTGGAGGTAGCATCCTGACAACCACGATCTCTCTCCAGAAAAGATCTATCCAGTGGATTCATTTCCTGATCTTCACAGGCAATTCTCCGGAGCCATTTCTCCCCCCGTGGAAGTTTGCCTCTGTGTGAATTTGTCCAGAAAGCAACACCATGGAAACAAAGAGAAGAGATGGGTCGAACCGATTTCTTTGGATCGCAAAAAGAAAGCCATAATGATTCAATATTGTCACAGTCATCATATTCCAAGACTGCCTTCCGAGCTGAAAGTCCTGCCTTCATTTTGAAATGCAAGCAGGCTATGAACCCGAGTCTAAAAGCTGGGGGGGGGGGGCTGAGGGGATAATCCTGTAGCTCAAAAGCTCATTCATTCATTCATTCATTCATTCATTCTCCCCAGAGTGACCAAACTACTATGACACAGGCTTTGGATTCCCTCAAATGTCATGTTTTCCATTCACACGCTAAAAAAAAATAGTATCAGAACGACAAGCCAGGCTTGACCAGAAAGGGAAGTGGACGGAGGGGACACCTCTCCGAGGCCAACAGTCATGGCTGCAAGAGTGACTTTGAAACCCCTGAGTTCATAAACCGACTTGACCCATTTGAGTGCTCTTCAGATAGATCGGGATTACAATTCCAAGAACTGGAACTGCTACAGCTCCTCTCAGTTAGGAATTCTGGAAGTCCCACATATTTAGAAAGCACGATGCTATAGAGTGTTTCTCAGCTTGGGCAACTTTAAGAGGAGTGGAGTTCAACTCCCAGAACTTCCCATTCTGGGAGTTGAACTCCACTCCTCTTAAAGTTGCCGAGGTTAAGAAATACTGCTGTAGAAGGGTATAAGCCCTTTTCTGGGTTAAAGAAGGAGAAAAAAAAGAATTAACCTGCCACCAGTGCTGGTTTCTATCCACACCCGAGGCAGTTTGTGCCAAGCACTTCCCTGACCTATTGAAAATACCAAACCTTCATTCCTTCAAGCCAGGGAAAAGTTTCGTTCCTCTTTTGCTTTCTCTCTCTCTCTTTCTCTCTTTCTCTCTCTCTCGATTGGTGTCTCTTTGGTGCTACAATATATAAAATTCAAACTAAAAAGCAGTCGACGAGACATATAAAAAAGAAGCTTTTTAACATACGCAAATCCTTCCAGAAGAGGTGGAAAAACAAAACAAACAGGAAAAAAAATAAAATAAAAATAAAAATAAAAACCCCAAACCCACCCAACCCAACAACACAGCAATAAGTACATTTTTTTTTTGTTTTTGAGGTATTTCATCTGCTCGGAAGAAGCTGTCGCAGTTCTGTAGGATGACTGAGCTAGACCAGGATGGGACGTTTCCCCCTTAGGAAGGTGACATGATGCTGAGCTGAGCGGACAGCAGCTCTATTGAAAAACAAGCAAGCAAGAAACCAAGACGACCTTAGTTGGATTTGAGGGAGGCATGAGAAAATTGGAGAGGGGGGGGGGAAGCAAAAACAAAACCTAGTTTTCAGCACACTCTGGTTTCAGGAGAACGTTACGGGCTGCAGAACTGGGATGTGTCGGCAGGCAGGCTCAGAAAACAGCCCCCATTCTCTTTTTATTTGAGAAAACGCAGGCGGTCCTACACCGGATTCTGCAAGGGATGGCATCAAGACTGATGCTATACATCCACCTCTTTTGCTAAAAGCAAACCCCAGTGTTGACCCAAAGGCTGTTTCTGCCTTTGCTGCTATTTTTCGGTTGGTGGGAATTGACTTCCCGTTATTTCTCGGCCGACACCCAAAAACAGTCAGGATTAAGCGAAGAAACAGAGCGGTCTTCGGAAGAGCCTCTGGCAGGGATGTGAAGACCTTCGACTGCAGATAAGGACTGGAGGCAGTTCCACAAACAGCCTTTGGCTATTTACATCTGGGTTTGGTTTGGTTTTTTTCTTTTTCTTTTAAAAAAAAGAAGCTAGCTATGATTTAATCGCTGCAAATGAAAGCCCGGAGCGAGGAGCTTGGGGTGCTGAAATCGTTCTTCCGGCAAACCGGAGGAATGGCAGGGAATCTGAGAGATGGAAGGATAAAGGGGAGCCAGGCGGCGCTAAGGATGATAAGAGGGTAGCGGAGGATTGTCAACACACAACGGCAGTCGCATTTGGAAAGGGGGGAAAAGGGAGAAAGAAACGAGAGAGACAGAAAGGAAGAGAAAAAAAAAGAGCAGGAGAGCGCCTCCTTTAGGCTTCCCAGGGGAAAAACGGGCTCCTTCTCGGTGTGTGTGTGTGTGTGTGTCTTTCATCCTAACTCCTGGCAATGGTCAGTCATCCACAAAACCGCTTAGCCTGTCCAGAGAATCCCTGATTGAAACACGCCTCGTGTCCCCTTCCCCCCCTCCCTCCCCACTCACCCCCCCCCACTGAGGACACAGCAAGACCTGAAAAAAAAAGGCTAAAAAGCCAGCGAGGTCCATCCGGATGGGAAACTCGCCAGCACAGACACGGCGGCTCTCCTGCGGCTGGCCCGCCCGGGGGGCAGGAGGGGCTGCTTGGGGCCAGATCAACGGGGTGGGCGGGTGGGGGTGGAGGCAACTTCTCCCGGGGACAGAGGAGCCGCTCGAGGCTGGAGAGCGAGCCCACCGCCGGGACCCTCAGAGAGACCAGCTGGTGGAGGGCTCGGCGCTGGGGGTGCCTCTGGAGGAGGTGGGGCTGGGAGAGCTGCTGTTGGCCCCGCCGGTGCTCTGGGTGTTGGAGCCGGCAAGGAGGTGGACGACGGGCTTTTGGGCAAAGAGGACGCCTGTTGGGGGGGGGGGAAGAGAGGAAGAGGAGGATTAGTTGACCGCTTTGAAGCAGAGCTCAGCGAGTGACTAAAGCAGGGGTCTTCAAACTTGGCAACTTTAAGACTTGTGGACTTCAACTCCCAGAATTCCTCAGCCAGCAAAGCTGGCTGAGGAATTCTGGGAGTTGAGGTCCACAAGTCTTAAAGTTGCAAGTTTGAAGACCCCCTGGACTAAAGCCTCTCCCTTGGAAGAATCACCAAGGACGAGTCCCAAAAGTGCTTTTTCAAAAGACAAGTGGACTTTCTGGTGCTTTTTTTTTTTCCTTGAAAAGGTTTGGCTTCTTACCCAAGATGCTTCTTCAGTTCTGACTGACTGGTCAGAATTCAGTCAGATCCGAAGAAGTTTTTCTTGGAGGAAAAGCGGAACGTTTTCAAGGGGAAAAAAAAAAAAGCCCAGTTGCCTTTTCAAAAAGCAACTTTGGGACAACCGTGACCTGGATGATGGAGAATCTCCATAGGCACAAACCAGGGAAATTGGACCAAATTCCATCTCAGCTTCTTTCCCACTTGGTCCAACGTTCTCCTGGATCCCATCAACGGCCAGCCACCAACCGAAAGAGGACCTGCCTGTTGTCCAGGTGTTCCTCATCCAGGTACTTTGGACGGCATCAGTTAACCCAGTGGGAGAGGATGTGCTATGGACTCTACAAAACCTCAACCCAGTTCCTGGTCAAAAGGATTCAGGATCAGACTGGTGGGAAGATCCTTTGCCAGTTCAGACACCAGGCAAATGTGCACAACCTTATGCCATGGTATGAGCCGTGGTGGCGCAGTGGTTAGAATGCAGTACTGCAGGCTACTTCTGCTGAGTGCCAGCAGTTCGACAGTTCAATTCTCACCGGCTCAAGGTTGACTCAGCCTTCCATCCTTCCGAGGTTGGTAAAAGGAGGACCCAGATTGTTGGGGGCAACAGGCTGACTCTGTAAACCGCTTAGAGGGCACTGTAAAGCCCGGTGAAGCAGTATAAAAGTCTAAGTGCTCTTGTTATTGTCCTTCCTTCCTTCCTTCCTGCCAGGAGTTTGATTCTGACCGACTCAGCCTTCCAAGGTCGATACAATGAGGACCCAGATTGTTGGGGGCAATATGCTGACTCTGTAAACGGTTTACATAGTCAGCATATCGCCCCCCAACAATCTAGGTCCTCATAAAACCCTGTGAAGTGGGATATAAGTCTAAGTGCTATTGCTATTGCCCTTCCTTCCTTCCTTCCTTCCTTCCTTCCTTCCTTCCTTCCTGCCAGGAGTTCGATTCTGACCGACTCAGCTTTCCAAAGTCGATACAATGAGGACCCAGATTGTTGGGGGCAATATGCTGACTCTGTAAACCGCTTAGAGAGGGCCATAAAGCACTGTGAAGCGGGATATAAGTCTAAGGGCTATTTTCTCAATCTTGGCATCTTTAAGACGTGTGGACTTCAACTCCCAGAATTCCCCAGTCAGAAGTCCACACGTCTTAAAGTTGCCACGGTTGAGAAAAACACGGGGATAGATAAACTATCAAAACTCTTTTTCAATGCTCCCTACAAGATCTGAGTGGCAGGAAGGAGAATCTGAGTCTTCCAGAGGCAAACCCCTGTGCCTCTATGCCCAGAGGGATCCCTGGTCTGGAAGCTCCCCTTTGCAGGTCCCCATGTGCTGCGAATAAGTGTGAGAGAAATCGCAACTATCAACCCCAAAGAAGTGGTTTGGGGATGCTTCTCTGCATAAACCCCTCCAATTTCCACCCCTGGTCTTACTTCCAAATGCCCTCACCTGCATAGATTGTGCCATTGATTTCCACTGACATATTGATGCTGCCGAAGCCAGAAGGGGTCCAGTTTAAAGCTGCTGCTGCTGCTGCTGAATCTGATTTATCTTCTAGAGAGGGAGAGAAAGAGAGAGAATGGGAGAGACAAAAAAAAAAAAAAGCAGAAAAACTAAGGAGGGCTGATTGAGGCTTGCAACCTATAGAACAGCTTATCTACTCTTAAAAAGTTCACCCTTGCTCTCTTCCCTGCCTTCTCCAAGAATAACTAAAACTACCAGATATTAGACAGGAACGTCTGGGATGGGATTTCTGCAGAGGGTCAGCCTGATCCCAGCACCCGTCAGACGCCACAAAAGTTGCTACCTGGAGCCGCTTCCAGGAGGGAAGTTTGCCACAAAATCCACAATCTGGTTCCCACGTTGCTTTAAGCCACAGGGCACCTAAGTGCGCTTGGCTGAATGAATGGCCCATCGCTGTTTGGCTTGCAAAGCAGACCAAGCTATGAATCAGATTGACCGAGAGAACCTGCTAAGCTAGGAAACAAACTATTTGATGGTTGCAGCACGATGACGCAATAACTCAACCAGAGGCTAAAGTGAGGTTCACTTTCCCCACCCAGTGAAATGTCAGTACCCCACGTCTTATCGGGGAGGTGGGAGAGCAGGGAAAATCTGAAGGCATCAGAGGTTCCTTAAGATCAGAATGGCTCAAACTCTTCGGATGAAGCCAAGAGAGATTGACTCTGTCTCCCCACTTCCTCCATCCTTCAGTCTCCCCACCTCCTCCATCCTTCAGTCTTCCCCTTCCTCCATCCTTCGGTCTCCCCACTTCCTCCATCCTAAGGGTCCACATGGATTTAAAACAAAACATTGAAATGAATAAGAATCCTCTTCTTGTGGAAAACAATGGTTGTTTGGGGACTTCCGGTCCTGCACAGCAGTCGAGGGATTTGGGACTCTGTGCCCTTCGGCTGAGTTTCTTCCTGTTAGGGGACCCTAAAAGGGCCAGAAGCCGCCCCGAAGAGGTGGCAAAGGAAGGAAGGAAGTCCCGGGGACTTCGGAGAGATGGCGGTCGACCCGATCGGTCCAGGAGAAGCCTTCCAGAAACCAACAGGAGAAAGGCTAGCCTAACTTCAGAGTCTAGCCCAGTGATGGCGAACCTTTTAGAGACCGAGTGCCCAAACTGCAACCAAAATCCCACTTATGTATCGCCGGGTGCCGGGTGGGCGTGGCTATGGTAGAAATGGTAGACTGGGTGGGCATGGACATGGTAGGCGTGGCCAACTCGATGTTGCTCTGGTAGGTGGGGCAGTGGGCAGGAGGGCATCTTGCTCAGCGGGTGGGGGGGCATGGGGGGAGGCTCCTGAGCCCCGCAGCTCTTCCGAGGGGGGGAGGAGGGGCTGTGCTGGGATTGGGGCTCCTCGTGCCTTCTGCTGCCCTCATGCGCTCTTCTGCCGAAGAAGCTGCAGCTCCGCTTGACTGGCAGGGCAGAGGCACGCTCGCGCATGGGGACGCACATAGGGCTGCTGCCTCCCTTTCCGTGCCTGCTTCCGCCGAAAGTTGCTCCCTTTATAGCCTCGTGCCTATTCCCAGACTGCACATGTGCAGAGAGCTGCGCATATGCAGCTCTGTGGAAAGCTGCGCATGCACGGAGAGGAGGAGGGAGCAGCTCAGCCCAGCAATGGCTCGCATGCCACCAGAGACGGCTCCGTGTGCCGCCTGTGGCACGCGTGCCATAGGTTCGCCACCACGGGTCTAGCCCAAGCTGCAAGCAACCGATGTCAAAAGCACTATTTTAAACTGATTGTAAACAGCGCGCTGGAATCTGGGTAAGAACATCAATTTTCTCTATTCTACTTATCAACTTTCCTGAAGGAAAAAAAAATCCCGAGGAACAAGGTTGTTTGGGATTTTTTTGCGGGGGGGAAATCATGATAAAATGGAGCAGAGACTCCCTTGGGGCTGACACTGGGTTGGAGCAAGCGAGGGGACAGAGACCGCAGCCCGGCCAGCGTGGGCTCACCTCGGCCGTTGATCTTAATCTTCATGGGCAGCTGCCGGGCCATGCTGAAGAGGTTCCTCTGGAAGGCCTGCTGGACAAAGCGCTGTTCTTCCTCCGTCATCCGCGCCATCTTCTCCGCCGGTTCCCCGGACTCCAGCCGTTCCTTCAACTGTTCCAAGGTGGCCGTTCTGGTGGCTGCCGTGGCCTGCTGGTTGGCCAAGCTCACGGGCATGGCGAGGCGATTTGGCGCGGAGGTGGTCAAAGGCAGGCCATCACCTGCAGCGGGGAGAGCAGTTCTCAGGACCTTCCATAAGGCGGGAGAAGCACCTTGGTTCACTCAAGAAACAGGCAACTGTGAAACCAAGCTTTATCCTAGATTATAAAGATGGGCCTGACATGGACAGCAAAATCAGCCATGGAGCCAGCAGAAGATTTGGGACGGGGATGTCCAACACAAAGTCTCTAAGGTGGCATTCTGCCCATTGGTGGACTTCAACTTCCATCATTCCCCAGCCAGAATGGAATTCTGGGAGTTGAAATCCACAAGTCTTTTAAAGTTGCCACGGTTGGACATCTTTGCTTTAGGGTAAACCCCAAAAGAGTTCTATGCAGGTGGTGCCCAACAAGGAGAGACTCTGAATAACTACACAGAACAACTACAGATTTCTTGCCAGGCATCCAAAATCCACTGCATTTCCCACGGCTGTTTCTTAAAAGCTTTATGACTTTCCCAGTTTAGCATCCTCCTGCCTGCCCTGAAATCCTGGATTATCCCCAATCAGATGCAGCGATGCAGCCCTGCTTGGCATTCTTTTTGAAAAATCACCCAAGACCTTAACAAAATAATAATAATAATAATAATAATAATAATAATAATAATAATAATAATAATAATAATAATAATAATAATAGCAGCAGCAGCAGCAGCAGCAGCAGCAGCAACAACCTGGCCATCAAAACTGCGCAATTATGGATGAAACGTGTAACAGTGATACCCATTGTCATTGGGGCACTGGGAACTATGTCCAAAAACTTCGCAAAACACATCAAGAAACTGCAGCTTCCTGCAATAACTCCAGCAATGTTACAAAAACCTGCGCTACTTGGAACATCTTATATTTTAAGGAGGTACCTGGTTGACACCTAGGATGCTGGTAGCAACCCGTGTCAACCATCAGCGCCAGCCAATCTGAATGTTCAGTTGACTGAGGTTCATGTCTAATGAATAAAAGCTAATAATAATCATAATAATGTTTAAAAGGGCTGGCTCACCTTTCCTGAGAGGGCCTGCTGAAGACAGGTGTAGGTTGCTAGTTGTGCTGCTGGGGGTGAGGCTAACAAGGGGGAAGCGGATCTTGGGGGGACACAGGAGCGAAGGGGGTCCCGGGGTTGCGGGGGAGAAGCTGAATAAAGGGGAGCTGTAACTGGGCCGCCGGCCTTCCCGCCTGTTGCCGTCGATGGCGGCCTGCAGCTCAGCAGGTGAGCTTAAGGACTTCTTCTCACATTCGTAGGCATAGAGGTACTTCATATACCTGGGGGGAAAAACGGAAGAGGCTCAGCTGGGTCAGGAGGCAAGAGAACGGGATGAAGTAGCAACGCATCTTGCGAAGTGTAGGACAAGGAGAGGCAGAGCCTGGGGACGGAGTCAAGAGAGGAATCAGCCTGGAATCGTTAGGTTGTCACAAACGGCCTCAGTCCAATCCCTCTTGAATTCAGTTATTTCTTATCTGATGCCAATTTAGTCCAGACTGATAGCTGACTAGACTCTTGTGTATAGGTTTGAGCAATACATTAGCTTGGCTGAAACTCAACTTGTGCTCCCAATTCTTCACACTTGATAATAAGCCACTGTTGAATGAGTTCTGGCCTAAGAGGTAAACCATGATCCAGAAACCAAACTGCTGGATTTCCTCCCCTCCCGTTATGCGCAAAAGACAAATAACAGGATTGCTTAGCATGGAAATGAGCAACTTCACTCAGCCAAAGACGTAGGTCGCTTTTGGCATGACAAGTTGAGGGCCGAAGCCTAATTTGTATGAGGGGGTTGCTAAAATATAGGCCAGTGATGGCGAACCTTTTAGAGACCGAGTGCCCCAAAACTGCCCCCGCCTCCGCTCCACCTCCCTGCTCCGCCCCTGCTCTGCCCCCCATCCCCCGCCCCACCTGCCCACAGGACTCACTCACCGCCTCCAGGGCCCGCCGCAGATCGCCCAGGCAGCCCAGCAGCGCTATGGCGGCCACACCCTCTGCCCGCACCCTGCAGCATCAACTGCATGATGGGGTGTGAGGGCAGAGTCTTGTCTACTCTGCCTGGCTGCCATGTCCTTGGCTGTGCTGCTCCGTGTGGGCCAGACTCGAGGGCGACTCTCCTTCAGGGGGGGCTGCTGGAGAGGAGGGGGTCGCGGGGGGAGGCAAGGCTGGGGCAACGGCACATGTGCCCACAGAGAGGGCTCCGAGTGCCGCCTCTGGCACCCGTGCCATAGATTCGCCACCACCGATATAGGCCTTCAACAACAAGAAAGCCCCACCTACTGTATTCTGAAGGGATTCTGGTGTCACCAAGGAATGCTGTGAAGGCCTTCTGGTCCCACATGGCACCCTTATTACACCTCAGGCTTACCAAGATGCAGTGTTTCTCCCCATGCTGCCTGGGGAATTCTGGGAGTTGAAGTCCACCCATCTTAAAGTTGCCCAGTTTGAGAGACCCTGCTAAGATGGATGAATCCACATATTCTCTCGAGCCGGTGGTTTAATATCCTGGGTTGACGGTAAGCAGGTCAGACACTACACTGAAGCAAGAGGTATACAGGGCAGGGGTGTCCAAGCTTGGCAACTTCAAGACCTGTGGACTTCAACTCCCAGACACCAAGGGACCAAAGGCCTTTGACTCTTCTTCCTGTAATGCTCATCCCCAGCCCTGCCAGGACTTACTGGGTGCGAAGTGTAAATGCTGCACTGGTGATGGAGGTGGGGAGGTTAAGGCCTTTGGTGATCTCCCTCCAGATCTTCTTGTTGATGATCTCCACCAAGCCTCCTTTTTCGGTCACCAGCTTGTACAGCATATAGAGGTCAAGGATCTGCTTGGCCATGATCGGGATGCGGTTGATGGGTGTCCCTGAACGACAGCAGGGAGGAAAGAGAAAGAATAAAAAAAAAGACAACAGGTTACCAGGAGACCTTCTACCTTGAACCACTTCTACAAACCACCGAGAGCTCCTCATTTCCTTCCACCAATGAAGGTATTTTCCACCAGGACTTGAGACTTGATCCTTTTAATCTTCAGGACTTTTATTAAAGGCAAATCTAAGGAAGCATCATCTAACTGTATTCCCTGTCTTTTTTTTTGTCTTTCGTCCCAGTCTCAAATGGTACATTCCAGATGAGGGCGACTCCAAACCTGGCAACTTTAAGGCTTGTGGACTTCAACTCCCAGAAAGGCTGGGGAATTCTGGGAATTGAAGTCCACAAGCCTTAAAGTTGCCAAGGTTGGAGACCCCTGTTCTAGACCATTGTGTCATGTGTCTGATTAACGAAACACTTAAAAGGACTTTCAGGCATATTTTTTCCTAAAAGCATTTATTAAGGTTACAGAGACGTCAGTACAGCATGGTGGAAAATGCTTAGGTCTGGCTTCTCTTCCCTTACGCATATACATTCTAAGCATTTCCCCCCCCTTATTTTGGGGTCATGGTTCACATCTTCCAATCAACTTGGAAGATGTGATTTACTTCTGGTTTCTTTTTCCGGGCTATCCTTATTCTCCTCCCTTTTTCCCTGTTGCCTGATTTAACTATAAAAATACCAGACAGTTCTGCATATTGTCAAAGCAAGAATATACAGTATTTGCAGCGTTGACACATTGCTTCTCAATCTTGGGAACGTTAAGATGGGTGGACTGCCATTCCCAGGATTCCCTAGCCAGCATGACATGACAGACCAGTAACAACTAACCTCTGACCTGCCCCTCACTTTGGTCTGAGATCCTTTGACACCCCCAAAGATTGTCCATTCCTCTTTTTCTAGGCTCTACTGCACACAACTCCCCTCCCATCAATCAAACTCTTAGGGCACACCACTCAAACGTTTCATCTCGTTTACACAAAATAAACGAGTAGATTTGCTCTTAAGACGGAGAAACACAGATCATTTCCCTTAAGACGTGCTTCTCTCTGGAAGCCATTTTTCGAGCAGTAAAGTAGATTATCGGGTTAAGGTTTTGGCCTTGCTTTAGCATTTTATAAACCAATCTAGCCAGTGAAATCCTGAAGACACACACTGCAAAGAAAAATAGGAAATGCCACAGGGGGAAGATCACAGATAAGAGCCAGCTTGACCGGAAAGGGTGAGAAATCTCCAAACTTAAGAGAAGTTGCCCATAAAACAGATTTCCTGTAACTTGGGCTCAAGGTCCAAAGCAGAAAATATTGATGGAGTGTTCTACCACTTTTAATGTCTAAAAGCTTGACAGGTTAACACGTCTCTGGGTTAGGAACAAATGCTTCAGAGCTGCTGTTCTTGCGCGTAGCCTCTAGTAGAAGGTTTGCTGATTAAAAATTCACACACTGTGGTGGTTGGCTTGATGCTGAAATTACTGAGTAAATCGTAATTGGAAGATTGGTTTTGAGCTTGGTGTGGGATGTCCCTGCCTGTCCCAGAGGATGTTCACAAGGCCAGATATAGGGCGCCCAACTTGGAAAGGGGAACCCTTGCCATATATGATGGACATTGATGTTGGCTTTTGAGAAGGCCTAGAAGGTCAAGCTGGCTACAGATTAATTATGGCTTATTTATGGGTGAATCAAGCCAGGATTCTGTTCTTGAATGATCGCCAAAATGATGATGGTGGTCTCTAGATGGAAGTCAATTACAGGAGTTGGTGGCTGGCACACCTAAAGGATGCAATGTGGCCTCTAGAGATGCTACAAAAAGCAATAGAAATAGCACTTATATACCACTTCATAGTGCTTTACGGCCCTCTCTAAGCAGTTTACAGAGTCAGGCCTATTGCCCTCCAATAATCTGGGTCTTCATTTGACCGACCTCGGAAGGACGGAAGGCTGAGGCGACCTTGAGCCGGTCCAGGATCGAACTCCTGGCTGTGGGCAGAGTTAGCCTGTAATACTGCATTCTAAGCAGAAGGAAGGAAGGAATAGCACTTAGACTTATATACTGCTTCACAGTGCTTTACAGCCTTCTATAAGTGGTTTACAGAGTCAGCATATTTGCCCCCAACAATCTGGGTTCTCATTTGACCGACCTCGGAAGGACGGAAGGCTGAGTCAACCTTGAGCCGGTCCAAGATTGAAATCCTGGCTGTGGGCAGAGTTAGCCTGTAATACTGCATTCCAACCACTGCACCACCCTGGCTCTTAATTTTAAAGAGCCACCTTTTTAAAACGACCTGCATTTTCTAACCCGCAAAGCACAAAAGTCTATCCATCAGGGTCCCAAACAGTTTGCAAATGCTTCTCTACAAGCCACCTGCCAAGAGAAGCTCAACCAGGACGCCTGAGCTTTCAGGCTTACCAAGAACAACGTCATCCTCCCTAATGGACAATTTTTGTGCTGCTGTTCAAAATGCTATAATAATAATAATAATAATAATAATAATAATAATAATAATAATAATAATAATAATAATAATAATAGTAGTAGTAGTAGTAGTAGTAGTAGTAGTAGTAGTAGTAGTAGTAGTAGTAATAATAACCATCAAACATCCACATCTGCCTATCCCAGGTCCTTGGTAAGGACTCAATAGGTAGAAAAAATGCCAAATCCAGTCTGAACAATCTGGCTGACTGTGCAATGATCAACAATAGTAGTAGTAGTAATAGTAATAATAATAATAATAATAATAATAATAATAATAATAATAATAATAATAATAAAAAATCCAACTTGGACAGCCCATTTAAGTTTTTTTTAACTCAAGCCAACGGAGAGATTATCTGAAGAACAGAATAAAATATGTTCCTATCCTCTCTCCTTTTTTATTTTAAAATAGGACTCAGCGAGAAAAGAGTGGGGGGGGGAAGACGGTTTGCCTTCCCATTCTGGGGAGGTCTGCACCCTCGAGAGCCTTTCACAAGCAAAGGTGAGGAGAAATAAACACACACACACCCAGTAAGTGTGGAAAGGTCTCGTATTGGGTGCCCTCCCCCCCACCTCCCCTTCCAGAGCCAGCCCCCCCCCCCAGAAGGGGCTGGTGATGAGTTGTTCCTGGAAGCCCCTGGTGCTGAAACGGGAAAGCTGAAAAATGAGTATCTTGGGATGGAAGGAGGCCAGGCCCGATCTTTTCACAGCTGGCTGCCAGGCTTGTCAGGGCTCATGATGGATGACTGTCATCTGGCAGGGTGGGGATTAATGATCTGTGGGTCAGAGGGGAGAATTCCAGAGGGAAAGGTCACCGACCGCAGCAAAGGCATAATAAGACTTGTTGCCGTTTGATACAGGGGCCTTCTTTTTTTTTATTATTATTACTGTATTTTCCAGCCTCTCTTTCTCTCTTTCCCATTCCAAGCCTGCAGCAGGGACCGTGAGTCTGCAACTCTGCAAAAGTCCCCATCTTTGTTAGCGGAGAGAGGTCAGCCCCTGCTCTGCCCTGGGATGTAATCTGGAGCTCCCGATTCCACTGCTGGGCCTGCCCCTCCCCTCGGGCCCTACTGCCACCCGATCCCAAGCTATGTGGGTAAATCAGAATCAGACCAGGTTTAGCCACCAAAACAACAGTCGCCCAAAGACTTCAAAAGAAAGCAGCTTTTTAACAAAGAAATCCTCAAGTTTTGCAACCTGGAATCGTGTGTTCTTTCTCTCCATAAAAAAAAAAAATCTAAAATAACTAAAACGACATCCTTTGGTTAAAGTAAAAGTAGTTAAAAGAAAAAAAACACTTTTTCAAATTGTTGAAAACCTGGGGCGCCCCATCAATATTAGCTCAGCATTCACCGACTAGAAATCTTTATCAGTAGTTGAATAACAGTCCCCGTCAAATTCAATCAGGCTATTGAAGACAAATCTAATCGAAAGATCCGGAATATCTGCCGTTCATTTTTTGCATCACCCTAAACCAGGGGTAGGCAACCTCGGCTCTTTTATGACTCATGGACTTCAACTCCCAGAATTCCTGAGTCAGCATAGCTGACTCAGGAATGCTGGGAGTTGAAGTCCATGAGTCATAAAAGAGCCGAGGTTGCCTACCCCTGCCCTAAACCTTCTTTCCTAAGGTAGTTTCCCCCCAATTTCTCCCCAACTATGTTTGTGCATGGTGAATGGAGTTAATAAAAACAGAGACAGATATGAAAGGACTGAGGGCCACAAAGCCAAACTTTTCTAGTGTAAAGCCGCCAACCCAGTGAGACAGAACAGAATAACAGAGTTGGAAGGGACCTTGGAGGTCTTCTAGTCCAACCCCCTGCTCAAGCAGGAGACCCTATACCGTTTTAGATAAACGGCTGTCCAGTCTCTTCTTAAAAACTTCCGGTGATGGAGTGTCCACAACTTAATAATAATAATAATAAAGTTGGAAGGGACCTTGGAGGTCATCTAGTCCAACCCCCTGCTCAGGCAGGAAACCCTACACCATTTCAGACAAATGGCTGTCCAGTCTCTTCCTAAAAACCTCCAGTGTTGGAGCATTCACAGCTTCTGGAGGCAGGTTGTTCCACTGGTTAATTGTTCTAACTGTCAGGAAATCTCTCCTTAGTTCCAGGTTGCTTCTCTCCAGGAAGGACGGAAGGAAGGCAGGAAGATGGGAATGGAAAGAAGGAAGATGGGAAGAAGGCAGGCAGGCAGGCAGGCAGGCAGGCAGGCAGGCAGGCAGGCAGGCAGGCAGGCAGGCAGGAAGATGGGAATGGAAAGAAGGAAGATGGGAAGAGGGAAGGAAGATGGGAATGTGAGGAAGGAAGGAAGGAAGGAAGATGGGAATGGGAGGAAGATGGGGAAGGAAGGAAGATGGGAATAGGAAGAAGGAAGGAAGGAAGGAAGGAAGGAAGGAAGGAAGGAAGGAAGGAAGGAAGGAAGGAAGGAAGGAAGACATTAGAAGGCACCAGTCATGAAGAAATGTTGCCGGCCATTAGGTTCTCTGTTCACATGAAAGCACACCAGCTCTGCCCTTCAATTTTATTTAAAAACAAGTAAGGCAAAACCCTCCCACTTCCCGGGACGGCCAGCTTAATTTACCGTACTCCACTTCCCCCCCACCACCATCCTGACCATTTCCACAGCGGGTATTTGCACCTCCGGAGGCAGCAGCGCTCAGTTACCTGACTTCACACGCCTGCAGACCATCAGGCCTGCTTATCAAAGCAGGAGCAGGGAAGCAATCAATCATGCCTTATTTGACAGGAGCCCCAGTTTAATCGACACCTATGGAAACGCCATGGAGTTCGGCTCCCCCCCCCCAACAAAGAGGGCCAGACTGACAGATCACAGCTATTTCGGAGCCCAGTTGCCAAGTTGAAGGCAGCCTTAACAGACACCTGCCCCCCCCCCAATATGGCTGCTAACCCTCCTGCNAAGATTTTGGCCTTAAAGAGCACACAAAGCCATACGAGTGTAGTCCTCAACTTACGGCCACGAAGGGAGCCCAAAATTTCCCTCGCTAAGCGAGTCATTTTTTAAAAGTGAGCTTTGCCCCATTTTACGACCTTGCTTGCCACAGCCGTTAAACGAATCACCGCAGTGGTTAACTTAGTCACACGGTTGTTAAGAGAGTCTGGTTTCCCGTCGGAAGGTCGTAAAAGGGGGACCCCATGGACCTTGCAGCCGTCGTAAAGGTGAGTCAGTTTCCAAGCGTCTGAATTTCATGATTGCGTGACTCTGGGGATGCTGCAAGGCTCTATAAGGGTGAAAAATGTTGCTTTTTTCCAGTGGCGCTGTAACTTTGAACGGTCACTAAATGAACTGTTGTAATTCAAGGACTACCTGTGCCATGACTTACAAACCATAACTGGCCACACCCGTACAATATTCTAAATATTCTAAATCAAGACCAGCCTAAACATTCTAAATTAAAACCGAACCGACTAAGCTCAGCCGAGTGTGTTAGTCCTGACAGCGTCCGCTTGACGGGCATCTTGTATCCTGCTAACCAGGACAGGAATGTCCATGGCAGGGGTCTTCAAACTTGGCCCTTTTATGACTTGTGGATTTCAACTCCCAGAATTCCTCAGCCAGGCACGCTGGCTGAGGAATTCTGGGAGTTGAAGTCCACAAGTCGTAAAAGGGCCAAGTTTGAAGACCCCTGGTCTAGGCTCATCTCCAAGTTAATTCAGGGAATACCGTTGCATGGGGAGACATCTTCAATTTTAAAAAAGCAGAAAGAAAAATATTTTTACTGTTATTTCATACCTGCCTCCGTCTGTAGAAAACTGGATTCCCTTTCAGTGAATTTGGGGAAACCAAGAGTGGAGTAGTTAAAAAAAAAAAGAGAGGCTCAAACTGCAGCCACAACCACAAATCGGAACCTTTTTGCAACATGCATTGATTGATCAAGACCAGGGGTCTTCAAACTTGGCCCTTTGATGACTGGTGGACTTCAACTCCCAGAATTCTTCAGCCAGGCACACGTGCCTGGCTGAGGAATTCTGGGAGTTGAAGTCCACCAGTCATCAAAGGGCCAAGTTTGAAGACCCCTGGTCTATGGAGATTCTCCGTCATCCAGGTCACAGTTAACCCAAAGGTGCTTTTTCACGAGGCAACTGGACTTCCTTGTTTTTCTTTGAAGACATTTTGCTCCTCCTCCGAGAAGCTTCTTCCATTCCCCACCATCCAGCCAGAGCTGAAGAAGCTTCTTGGAGGAGAAGCGAAACGTCTTCCAAGAAAAACAAGAAAGCCCAGTTGCCTCGTGAAAAAAAGCACTTTTGGGACAGGAGAGGAACGCTCCTGTTCTCCTGCTGCATCAAAGGCGGAGAGGCTCACGAGTGGATAAGCTCAAATGCTTGTAACTAGCTAGAAGGCAAATGGGAAGGCAGCAAACTTAAAACAACTGGGGAGGTCTTAGTAAGTAAGGCTACTTGCCAGATACTTTGATTAGTGCCACCACTGCTGGCTGGAGATAAAACCGCCCCCAGCCCCGGCAGTTAGCAATATTAAGAGTTTTTCCACATCTGAAAAGAAGCAGATAAGATACACAACAGCAGGAAGCCATTTGGCCAGCCTCACAAAGAGCCTTCTATGGAGAGACCCATCAAATGTAGGAAGAACAAGCCATCTGGGAAAACTGAGGTCACCTACAACCTTGAGCAGCAGCAGCAGCAAAGTGATGCAATCTGAAGCTTTTGGGTCTCTGTGTGTGTGATTTTCACAAAGAGAGGTCCTTAAAGGAGCAAAACCGTTTTTCATGACCACGCAATCGTTCATGAGTTTGCAGCACTGGAGTTGCAGAATCTGCAAATGTCAGCGGTCTCTACCAGCTTCAGTTTTTCACCCAGCCAACCTCTTTCTATTAAGAGATTTCTGGGGAAGAAAAAAAAAAAGCAGATGGCTATATCTCCAATAGAAAATAGAAGAGAAAGCCAGTGTATTTAATAGAAAAGTTGAAAAACCTAAATCCCTCAATTGGGGCTGCACAAAATGCCTGAATTTGAAGGGCGTTGAGCATTTGGAAAACTGGAGCAAGAGAGAGATAACGGTTCTTTTGTCACAACTGTATTAATTTTTCATCGGCTTCTCAACCATAATTGTTAAGAGCTATTGCCTCAGACAAATGGGAACTCTTAGGCCTTAAAGCAGTGTTTCTCAACCTTGACAATTTTAAGGCATTGCTGGCTGTGGAATTCTGGGAGTTGAAGTCCACATGCCTTAAAATTGGCAGGGTTGAGAAACACTGCCTTAAAGTTTTTCCTGGTCTCCTAAATGTTGTCATCTACTCAAGACCACAGTTAGGGAAGTAAATAGCTTGTCAGTTGAAACTGGAATGAGCTATTTTATGCCACTGCTCAAAAGTTAGATGGTTTTGTGGTTTCCGAGTTTACTGTGCTATTAGTTTTAACCCTAACCATCATGGAGATTTGTTTGGGAAAGAAACCACGATCTATCCATCTGTCACTCTATAATTAACATGTCCAGAACCTCAACTGCAGAACTCTACAGTGATTTTGGTTCTTCCATATTCTCTTTTTATTGTCAAATATGCCAACCTGCAACAACTGACATATTTCTATGGCAACGTCAAGAGAATAAACCACTCCACAAATTATTTATAGGCAACGTAAGTCAAAAATAAAAATATGCAAACATTCTTCAAATGGATCTTCAAAAAATCAAGAGTAAGCATTCCTACCTATATTAAGTAGAAATAATTTTGTCTTTTTCTTGGGTCTTGTGAGTTACCACAAGGAAGCACCCTACCAAAGTAAAAGCATAAATGCCACAAAGAGTTTCTTTTTAGGATAAAAGTAGCTCGTATATGAGCATTCCAGATACATCAAAGCTTTCTCTCTCCTGAAGATTGGTTTAACAATCAAGGACACTGGATTGATTTTTAAAAATCCATTTATAGTTCAAAGACAGTTGAGTTTGAAAGACAGATAGGCAGGCCATTCAAACACATCTCAGCTGACTTCACAACCTTAATGCTTTGTGTTCAGCCTTTGACGGGACTTAAAATTGATCCGATTGTGGCAATGTTTCTATCAAGGACAATCTTTCACATTTGATGCCTGGACCCTAAGAAGGATCAGGACTTCTTAGTCCTTGAATAGGACCACTTCGAAATTCTGACGCTGTCAGCTGGACTGGAAAATTGAAAACCATCCCAAAATAGAGCAATGGAAAGCAATTTCCATATTGCTGTTGAAAAAAACCCGCATAGATCAGGTCACCAAGCCAGTTGGATTTTATGGGCATGAAGCTGACATGGTGCTTGTTAAATAAACCAGTTAATAATAAAGATCAGTTACCCAGGTAATTAAGATAAAGTAGTCTGAAAAAAAACCCCAATGAAGAATGAAACCTGAAAGAAGAAACAAAATGAAATATTGCATCAGATTGGAAAAACTCAGCCTAGAGTAGAATCACTGCCACAAGAGGCTGCAAGGACCACCAACTCCTAAAGCTGGAAAAGGAAGGAAGGACAAGAAGGAAAAACTAATCAAGGAGAAAACCAAACTAGAACTAAGGAGAAATTTCCTGACAGTGAGAACAATTAATCAGTGGAATTCAGCTTGCCTCCAGAAATTGTGGGTGCTCCATCCCTGGAGGTTAAGAAGAGATTGGACAGCCATTTGCCTGAAATGGTAGAGGGTTTCCTGATCAATCAGGGGGTTGGACTAGAAGACCTCCAAGGTCCCTTCCAACTCTGTTATTCTGTATATCAGGTTGTGGGAGAAGGCTATCTATGGCTACTAATCATGACAGACAGGTATAGCCTCCCGTTTTAGAGGTACCAGCTTCTCAAAATCAGTTGTTGGGGAACACATCTCTCTCTCTCTCTCTCTCTCTCTCTCTCTCTCTCTCTCTCTCTCTCTCTCTCTCTGTGTGTGTGTGTGTGTGTGTAAGAGAGAGAAAAGGAAGATTTCTGCAGGCATAGCCTGCTAGTCAGCTTCCTATTGTCATCTTCTTGGCCACTGTGAGAACAGAACTCGGAGCCAGAGCTTCTGGTCTGATTCTGCACAATTCTTCTCATTTAGCCTGAATTGCAAGTCAAATAGGAATCATTGCAGTTGATCATTCCTGTTCCCCGTTTGCTGCTTTTTCCTGCCAAACTTTGGACAATTTAAAGATAAAGATTTATATTTTTGTTCTAGTAAGCGACACCCATTTTACTGCTCAATAATATTTCAATAACCCCGAGCTGGATATTGAGGAAGATGGAACAAACGGCATCCTTATGACCTATTATCCAATAAAATGTGCTACCTTATATTCTTGGAAGAAAAAGTCCTGAGTCATTTTCCCTCCCACCTCACAAATTTGCTTTCCCACAGGTTTCTAATTCCAGCATACAGAACAAGCAGCCACATGTTTGTTTCCCCCCTTATGCACTCACCCCTCTTGTGCATAAAAATGAAGAGATCGTCCAGGAACTTCTTCCGTTCGGGGTCACTATCCAATTCATACAACTGTGGAATAAAGCAAGCACAATTTAACTCGGGCTGGGCGTAGAAAGGAAAACAAGATTTCAGAGCCATGTTCAGTGGGTAGAAAGGCACAACTCAACTCAGATTGGAAGTTTCCTCCCCCCCCCCCAAAAAAAAACCAGCAGAAAAAGATTTGAAGCTCCTGTTTAATGCAGCCTCGGGTGTAAAAAGAAAAAAAAAATCAGGCTGGCGACACAGGTAGTTTGCATTCCAGGCACGGATAATATGGATCTAGAAACCAGGTCCTTGGAGGCTAACGTTGCAGCAGGTATCAATTTTCTGAAATGGAGGTGAGGATTGAAGAAGGTGGTGGCTATAAAGAAAACAAATGTCCTAAACCAGCATTTCTCAACCTTGCCCCACTTTAAGACGCGAAGACTTCAACTCCCAGAATTCCCCAGCCCAGCCCAGCCAGAATTGTGGGAGTTGAAGTCCCTGCATTTTAAAGTGGGCAAGGTTGAGAAACACTTTCCCAAACAATCTGACAAAAAAGCTAGCAAAGATATCCAGATCAATGGCTCCACCACCACCACAACGCTTGCTAAATAAATCACTGTGGATTTGAAGCCTGGACATCGTTAAGAGGTACTAAAAATTACAACCCAAGAAAGCTAGATAAGGGATGATCAGCCCAGCCAGATCAAGAGATCTATGGAAGCTGATTTGGAAGGAATCCAAGCCTCCTCCTAACAAATTGGCGAAAGGCTCATGTTACTTTGTTACATAGTACTTTGAACTCTGGTGCTGGAGAAGACTCCTGTGAGTCCCCTGGACTGCAAGGCGTTCAAACCAGTCAGTCCTAGAAGAGATCAACCCCGACTGCTCTTTAGAAGGCCAGATCCTGAAGTTGAAACTCAAGTACTTTGGCCACCTAATGAGAAGGAAGGACTCACTGGAGAAGGGCCTAATGCTGGGAAAGATGGAGGGCAAGAGAAGAAGGGGACGACAGAGAACAAGGTGGCTGGATGGAGTCCCTGAAGCAGGAGGCGTGAACTTAAATGGACTCCAGAAGATGGTAGAGGACAGGAAGGCCTGGAGGAACGTTGTCCATGGGGTCGCGATGGGTCGGACACGACTTCGCAATTAACAACAACAACTGTTTGAAAGCTCTTTTTTTCAAACCCCCTCCAGGTAGCAGAGCCATCCCAGGCAGTAGAGTTTTGGCGATAGCTTCCACCCTGGATGCAACCGGACAATCCAAGCTAAGTTGTTGCACTGACCTTGGCAAAATCCCGAGATATCTCTCTTCCTCTGCTACTGTCGGCTTCTTCGCTCCAAGTTAGGTTCCCGTTCTGAAGAGGAAGAAAACCAAAAGCAGACAGCTATTAAAAGAAAAGAGCGGGCATTGATGGAGATGCTCCATCATCCAGGTCATGGCGGTCCCCAAAAGGTGCTTTTCAAAAGGCAACTAGACTTTCTTGGGGTTTTTCCCCCCTGAAAATGTTTCGCTTCTCCATCCAAGAAATTCCTTCAGTTCTAATTGACCGTTCATTCAGAACTGAAGAGGCTTCTTGGGTGAGAAGCGAAACGTTTTCAGGGGAAAAAAATACCAAGAAAGTCCAGCTATTTAATAATAATAATAATAATAATAATAATAATAATAACAACAACAACAACAGTAATAATAATAGTAGTAGTAATAATAATAATAACAACAACAACAACAACAACAACAATAATAAAGTTGGAAGGGACCTTGGAGGTCATCTGGTCCAACCCCCTGCTCAGACAGGAAACCCCACACCATTTCAGACAAATGGCTGTCCAGTCTCTTCCTAAAAACCTCCAGTGTTGGAACACTCACCACTTCTGGAGGCAGGTTGTTCCACTGGTTAATTGTTCTGTCAGGAAGTTTCTCCTTAGTTCTAGGTTGCTTCTCTCCTTGGTTAGTTTCCATCCGTTGCTTCTTGTCCTGCCTTCAGGCGTTTTGGAGAATAGCTTGACTCCCTCTTCTTTGGGGCAGCCCCTGAGATATTGGAAGACTGCTATCGTGTCCCCCCTCGTCCTTCTCTTCATTAAACTAGACATACCCAATTCCAGCAGCCTTTCCTTATATGCTTTGGCCTCCAGTCCCCTAATCATCTTTGTTGCTCTTCTCTGTACTCTTTCTAGAGTCTCAAAATCTTTTTTACATCCTGGTGACCAAAACTGGAGGCAGTATTCCAAGTGTGGCCTTACCAAGGCATTGTAAAGTGGTATTAACACTTTACGTAATCTTGATCCTATCCCTCTGTTAATGCAGCCTAGCACTGTGTTGGCCTTTTTGGCAGCTGCAGCACACGGCTGGCTCATATTCAAGTGATTGTCCACTAGGACTCCGAGATCCCTCTCACAGTTACTACTATTGAGCAACGTACCTCCTATATATTATACCTGTGCATTTGGTTTTTCTTGCCTAAATGTAGCTGCCTTTTTTTTTTTTTGAAAAGCATCTTTGGGTCGAAAGAGCAGGTAAGAACACCAGTGGGTCACTCCCAACAGAGGAAACATTTAAGTTAAGAAACAGGAATCGGTTAATTGTTACAACCCACCTGAGCCGGTATAAAACTGGAACTAACCAGCTTTTCCTCAAAGATGGGCAGTGATTTATAGAAGAGTACTTTGCATGATGTCAGATGTCAAAGGATGGTTTCATTTGCATATATTGGTACAAAAGTTCCAATTCCTTTTTTTTATTTTTCTTCTCCCCTTTAGTAAATGAACCCAATTCCCACATTTTCGCAACTTCTCATGCTATAAGGCAACTTTCCCTACTGGGCATGCAATTCTTGTCCAACAGGCCAATCAGTGGAAATTCTGGGAAATTCTGCAGATTCAAAACTTCTGGAGAATGCCATTAATACAATATCAGATCGATGGTGGACTCCCATATCAAGCTCTGCCATAACACGGTTTGTTGGATTTGGACTTAGCATTTTCAATGAAAACATGGTAGCATCAACTTAACATGTGAAGCAAGCCAGCTATTCAAGAAACAATCTTGGTTCACCAGAGCACCTTGCTGATGTAAGTCCTTTGCTACTGGCTGCAGAAAGGCTCAAGAAATGGCATTTTTTTTGTTCCTACTCATTCTTCTCTGTAGGCAAGACAGACTGTGAGAACCAATAAAGGAGAATATTTGTAGCTCAAGGCTGAAATGAAAGGTCGTTGGTGCTCTCTAAGCTTGGTTGTTTTCTTGCAGACATTTCATTACCTGATTAGGTAACATCATGAGTGTTAGTACAAATGATGTTGCCTAGTTTGACTAATGAAATGCCTGCAAGAAAACCATCAAGTTCAGAGAGCACCAAGGACCCCTCAGACTGTAAGAAGTTGAACACAGTCAACTGTTATGGGAACATGAATCCTGGACCTCATGGGTTTAAAATAGGGGTGGAGAACGATGGCCCTTTTATGACTTGTGGACTTCAACTCCCACAATTCTTGAAGCCCACAAGTCATAAAGGGGCTATGGTTCCCCACCTCTACTTTAAGACAACCTTTTCTTCAGCACAGACCTCCTTTAAATATTTTTTGTGGCCACAGACCATGGCCACAGACCCCCAAGATTTAAGATTTAAATTATAACATTTTGTTCGAGCCTTCACGGACCTCCTGTGACGACGTATGGCCCCAGGGATTCGTGGACCACAGGTTGAGAACTACTAATTTAAGAGGCAAAACTCTCCCAGGGATTTCTGTCACAGCCCAAGCAGTGGTCACACCAGGAGGCTATGGAAGAGTAGTCCTGACTTTCTAACGATTGTGGGAATGGAAGGATGACTACTACAGCCCTCCCAACTGCAAACATTGCAATGCAAAAATGCCCGGGCAACAGGCAAAAAGCGAAACCAATAAGGTCAAATGCCAGGGGATGTGTGTGACCCACCATCTGCTGGTAAGCACACAGGATCTTAAATCAGATGAAAAGCCACTGAATGCAGGGAGGGGTTTCCAAACAAAAACAGTTTTTAATTAGAGCCACTTTAATGCCCACAGTTTAGTGTCATCTGGCACTGACACACACACTGAATTAACAAGATGAATAGCTCGGGGATGGGCAGCATGACTGACTGACTGACTCACACACACACACACACACACACACCAATCTTTTGAATGGCACAGGTTGCCTTAAAGCCTGCTGGTTTTATTTGAGCCAGCAATTCCGGCTGAAAAGTCAATTATCCAGTGAGGCCCATCAGCCGAAATATATTTAATGGAGGATTATGACTGCTTGTGTTGTGTCAGCTGTTTTGTTGCAGCTGTTGCCTCTCTTGAGCCAACTTCAGAAACAGCTACAGATACAAATCTCGTCTTGACAAGCAGGACAGCTAAAGGTTCTCCACACAACTAAACTAGCCACTCACAATACCGGCCAACCGGCATCCCAAAATGCAAGTTAGCATCCTGATACAGGCACAAGTAGTCCTCGACTTACAACACTTTGTTTAGAGACCGTCCGAAGTTACGGCGACACTGAAAAAAGTGACCTACGGCCGCTTTTCACACTTATGGCCACCGCACCATCCTGTGGTCACATGATCCAAATTCAGACGCTTGGCAACTGACTCATATTTATGACAGTCGCAGTGTCCCGGGGTCATGTGATGATCCCCTTTTGCAACCTTCTGACAAGCAAAGTCAACGGGGGATTCACTTAACAACCAGGTCACTAATTGAACAACTGCAATGATTCAGTTAACAACCGGGGCAAGAAAAGTCGTAAAATGGGGCAAAACTCACTTCACAAATGTCTCACTTAGCAACGTAAAATTCTGGGCTCGACTGTGGTCGTACGTCGAGGATTACCTGTAGAGTTGTTAAGCTAATGTTGTTTTGATAAGGTTTATATTATGACAGGACTTTTGGACTGGAAGGACTTTTTTTCGTCTGTTTTTGGATTCTTCTGCCCCTCTTCTCTCTGAAGTGGCTTTTTTCCCCCCACAGTCCATTATTTTATTAGTAGAGATGTGACTTAAATATTGATAAATTCAGTTTCCCCACCCACTCCATTGTTTTATTGATCGCTTCTTCTGCAAAAATCTAAATGGAAATTGCAAAGATTCCTTGTAACAATAACAATAAGCACTTCAAAATATAAGAATACGTTTTTTATGATTTATTATTAGACCCCTTGTAGCTTTCTGTTTAAATCCTTAAGGCATCTTCCTACTGTTTTTTTAAGTAATAAAAGAAAAAAAACGTTATTGGCAAGGATCCATAGGTATTCCAAAGCGCAAAGAGCCACGTTGGTTGGAAAAAGAAGCACCACTGAAACGACAGCACATAAGACACAGTACCATTTTTAGAAGCTGCAATTACTGGTGTGTTTAAATGTGTGTGTATCTTTTTTTGGGGGGGGGAATTTTATTGATTTTCTAGTTTTACATTTAAATATTTGAAAAGCAATGTGGCGGCTGAGTTGGTCAATAATTCAATAACATACAGTCTGAGGTGGCTTCTTATTTGCCTAGTGCAGGGGTAGGCAATCTTGGCTCTTTTATGACTCATGGACTTCAACTCCCAGAATTCCTGAACCAGCCATGCTGGCTCAGGAATTCTGGGAGTTGAAGTCCATGAGTCATAAAAGAGCCAAGGTTGCCTACCCCTGGCTAGTGATATTCTGGCTAAAAATATTAACCTTTCACCGGAACAGAAGAACAGCAGAAACAAAACCAAGGCAGTGAGCATTGCCCACGACTGGAGGGAAAATGGAACAAGGGAGATATTTAGTGCTATTTGCAGGGGTGGCATTAAGAAACTTTTCTTTTGAATATTAGACAACGGTGGCAAGAAAGGTTGTGAAATGATTGCAATGCTCACTTAACAACTGTCTTGCTCAGCAACAGAAATTCGTGATCACAGCTTGAGGACTTCCGGTATCGACCAGTCCCACAAGCCACCTGATTGTACAAAACTAGCGACAAGGTACAGACAAGCTGCATCGATTGGAGCTGGGATAGAAAAAAACCCCAACAACATTTCCATTCCTCGTGTAGTCAAAAGCGTGATTTAAGTTCTCCTATTAAAACCGCACAATATTAACATTTACGTTTCTGGGTTTTGTTTTGTTTTTTTTAATTTGCCCAAGACGCAGGAAAATGTTTATTTTTATTGTGTGTACCTTGCAACTGGCTCTGTGCTGCCCTTACCACAGTAGCAAATTTCAAATGTTTATGATAGGAAATAAACACTGCTGCTGTTTATATCTCAAAACAGGGCAAAAACGTTTCTCCAATGACCAGCCTTCCTAAGAGGAAAATCAACTCTGCCTTTATCTTCAAGGAAGTGACCAGGCTTAGCATTTTGT